ATATTTCAAATAAATGATGTAAATAAAATAAAATATCTTTTATGAAAAAATAAATTATTAAATAACTCTAATATATTAGTTTTTATTAATGTATAATATTTATAAATATTAATTAATATTATTTTTATTAATATAGAAATATAGAAATATAGTTATAGAGAAATTTTTTTTAAAATGTCAAAATAAAATTAATTGATTTAAAGAAGCAAAATTATATAACGTATAATATATTAAATAAAAAATTGATCACATACATATATTTCAATAAATACATACTCTTTTATCTGTAATCTTCTTACTATCTGCATTTTTTAATATATCCTGTATTCTTTCTAAATATTTTGACATTGTACAATTGACAATAAAAATATTTTCTTAATGATATTTCAAAAAAAGTATTATATTATTGTGTGTGTGTGTATATATATATATATGAGTATTTGTGCATGTGTATAATATTTTAAAATATTAATGACATATTATTAATTCTATTATTTCAATATCTATAATTTACAAAATTAATAGAAGCGAAATAGCATTTTTTCAATTACAAATATCAAATATATATGAAACTAATATTTTAGTAACATTTTAACAAACTTCTCCTAATAAAAATACTAGAAAGATATTTTATAGCAAAATTATAATAATCATATAAAGTTCGTTTAATAATAATTATTTCTTTTTGTGTTTTTGCAAATTTTGTTAGAATTTAGTAAGTTCAGAATTAAAAAATTATTTGTGTGCAAAATTGTTAATTTTTAAAAATTTTTACATTATGCCATAGTAAACTTTTAACCAATCTATTCGATAATATATAAACTAGTGCATTAAATTCAAATTATTTTTCAATTAATAAATTCATAATTCACACTTAGATTATAATATTTTTTAACACAATTTAATGTAGTGGAGTCTAAAGATCTTATTAATTTTCCTGAATTGTCCTTATTATTCATTTTTATTTATATATTATTATATATATGTATTATATTTATTTATATGTATTATATATATGTATTATATATGTATTATATATATTATTTATATTATTATTTATATTATATTATATATTATATATTATTATATATATTATTTTTTATTTAACAATAATAATTTTTCTTAGTTTCAAATAATATTTTTATCTTTAATAATTAAAAATATAAAACATTTATTTTTACATATATATAACAGGGGTTACATATATATATAATTTTTACATAATATATATGCATACATAATGCATATATATATGTATATATATGCATATATGCATACAGTATATATAAATATGTATATAAAATTCGATGTTTTTATTATATTTTAATATTCTAAAATATAAATAAAATATTAAATATTTAAATTATTATTCAAAAATATTTTATATGAGATATTAATGATATTAATTGTAAAATAAATTATAAATTAAATTTGTTTAAAGATCATATAATTTTTAATAAAAAAATTTCTTGTGAAATTTTAAAAAATGAAAGGATACGGAATTTCAACGTATTAGTTGATAATAGCTATAAAGTTAATATATACATATATGATGATAAACGTTCCCACAGACCAATTCTACTTCAATTTAGTTTAAGTATTGGACAGAGTTCAACTATCATCCTTTATGAATAATAATCTAAACTGTTAGTTAAATTCCATTTAATGTTTTTGACTAAAGTTCACATAATATTATTTAGGAATTTATTTCACAGCGCGCTGAATATTATAAAAAATTAGATATAAAAT